AGTACTCCAGCTGGGGGGCAAAGGTGGGACAGTAAAGGAGCTGGCTAGGCCTCTGAGGTACAACTCCTCCTTTGCACTATTCCTGAAGTATCACAACTATGTGCCATCCTGTATCAGCACAGTCTAGCCACTAAATATGTGGAAACATTTTCAATACTTATTTTCACACACACAAAAAAATCACTAACGTTATTGCGAATTATTATTTAAAGAAATCCAACATAAAAATTTGTCCTCTCCCTACTGACTACTAACAACTGCTATGACTTACAAGTATGAACTTTGTGTGATGCTGCATGTGAAACTTAAAGGGCCAAAAATATACAACCCAAAGGAATTCTAATAAAAAACATCCACTAAACTACAGTCACTGTGGTATCTCTGCTGAAAAACGCTGCCACAAATATAGCGTGGGCAGAGGACATTCTTGTTTCCTTAAAGTGCATTTTTATAGTGACACATTAACCATAGTTGCATCTGTTGTGTAATTAACAATCTCTCTGTCCAGCCATTGTAAACCTATTTTACAGCTGAATTTCTTTGTCACTTCAAAGATGTATCTAGTTGAAACATTAACATGCACGTTGTTAATCTTATTCTGCTCATTAAAGCTTATTTTTTTTAAAAAACGAGTTAATTAGTAATTTTTTTGTTGAATGTACGTTAAAAAAAGGAACAGGTTCCTGCTTAAATAGCTCTAGTTAAAATACAGTGTTTTAAAAAGCATTAGTGTAAATTGCTTCCCTTTGGTATTTTAAAAGAAATTTATTTTTAAAACAGCCAAGGCATTAACTTTGTAAAACAGCTACTGCAAATGGGAAATCGCTATTTTTGACACTTTCCTAAACTACCAGAATAAATACTTAATGAAATAACATAGCACAGTATTCTAAATGTCTGCCGTTGTTGTTACATTGCAATTGACACTGCCGTTATTCTATCCTCAACAGTTTTTTTAACTAGAACAAAACACGGAAGACGACCTAGTAACTTTGTACTTTAGAATTACGGCTAAAGATTACAGCCCAGATTTGTAACGGTATCTACCGTAAAATCCCGACTATAATGTGCACCTATGCATAATACGCACCTACCTTTTAAACATGAGAATTCCAGCATAAACAGAACTCCTATCTATAATGTGCACCCCGACTTTGCCATATTTTGTCTTGCCTTTTTGTATTGCCGGGTAATCACGCATGAGCACACGAGTATACAGTGCATGGCATTTCCATGCTCTCTTTGGGATGCCATGTGTTGTCGGCGATCTTACACGACTGCTGAAAAACTTAAAGTTGTTAGCTATGCTGAGGCTCATGGCAACAGAGCTGCCAGCTGTGAATTTGATGGCATAGCAGAGTCTAACATTCAGCTTTGGAGACAGCAGAAAGGGTAAAAGCACTGCACATCCTGAGTTGGAGGCCAAGCTGGTTGAATGGATTGCTGAGCGTAGACAGCAAGGCGGTGGTGTTAGCATTGTGGAGGTTAGAATGAAGGCTTTGACCATTGCCAAAATGTGCGCTAACACAGCCAGGTTTAAAGCTTCGCATGGTTGGGGCAATCGGTTCATGAATCACCATGGCCTATCAGTCCAATGCCGAACAACAATCACACAGAAGCTACCCATGAACTCAGACACCAAGGTACTACAGTTCCAAAAGTTTATCAGAAAACTACACAAGCAGCACTGCTACAACCTTTCATTAATGGGTAATGCAGATCAGACACCATTACATTTCGATAATCCTGACAACAGAATGCTTGAAGTAAAAGTGCCAAGACCATCTCCATTGCTACCACGGGCTATGAAAAGTCTAGGTTTAAGGTAATGCTTGCTTGCATGGCCGACGGAATGACAACAGAATGCTTGAAGTAAAAGTGCCAAGACCATCTCCATTGCTACCACGGGCTATGAAAAGTCTAGGTTTAAGGTAATGCTTGCTTGCATGGCCGACGGAACGAAGGTGCCTCCTTATACGGTGTTCAAGTGCAAGACAATGCCAAAGAATGTTATATTCCCAAACACCGTTCACGTGCATGTTCACCCTAAAGGCTGGATTGACGAAGCTTTAATGCTTAATTGGCTACAGACGGTTTGGGCGAAGCAGCTAGGTGGACTTATGAGAAAGCGGTCTCTAATAGTTTTGGATGCATTTCCGTGTCATCGTATGCCATCCATCAAGAAAAGGCTTCAGCAGTACAAAACAGACTTGGCAATTATTCCTGGTGGAATGACTAAAATGTTGCAGCTGTTTGACGTGATAATTAACAAGCCAATGAAAGATGTACTATGCAGGAAACGGAACACCTGGTTGTTGGGAGGTGAACATACATTTACTGCAGGTGGATGTATGCGAACTCTGACGCTGCAAGACGTGACCCAGGTTGAACTTGTTCCCACTATCATAAGGAAGGGGTTTCTGAAATGCAGCATCTCTAATGCGATGGATGGCAGCGAGGATGATGCCCTGTGGATGGATCCGAGCGACGATGCATCGTCCTAGGGCGAATTACTGGTATGCGAAGATGACAATGATTTGTATTACCTAGATGAAGATGTCGAGGGCTATACCTAGGAAGATATTGCTCATCTGTTCGAGGAAGATTCTAACAAATGCGAATTCGAGGGCTTCGAAGATGAGTAAAAGATCAATTAACATACGGTATTTGCTTGTTTGCACTGCAGTGTTGATTTCATTTGTTTAACTTACCTTTTTGAAACTGTATATAGTTGCTTGTCGATGCTAATAAAAATCAACTTAACCTCTGGTGTCCAGCGATTAATTAAGTGCTGCGGAACCGCCAAATGAAAACTTTGAAAAAAAACTCCTATGGATAATGCACACCCCGACTTTGACGTTAAAAAATGGAAAAAAAAGTGCGCACTATACTCACAACTTTACAGTAAGTGTACTGCACTCGAGATAGCAACATTTAATTGGTTCAGGAGCCTAGAAACCATTTTCAAAAGGGATTTAAACATTAGGTGCCATCCCTTTTTGAAGTGAAATTTAGAGTTCTAACTCAGGTGTTGCATACTAAGCAAAGTGAAACTTAAGTGCCTTTAAAAATCTGGTCCTATGTACCTAACTCATCCTTGTTTGACACTACTGGTGTCAGAGTTACACAGTCTCTATGGTTATATGTATTTATTTAGCATTTACATCAACAATGTTAGGTAATATTACAGGGATCTCTCAAGCCAGGTTCAACCCCCAGAATTTCTTTGCTGTCCCTTCCCCACACCCAGTTTATAACAGGAAGAGTGAAATTTAAATAAAAATTCCTTTTTTCAATAAACATCACTACAGATTAATAAGAGCTTGAAGTACATAACATTGTAACCTAATAAGGGCAGATAATTTTCACATTGTCTGTAGATACATTCCCCATTCCCTCCACCCTCACCTGCCGAAACCAGCATTTTACTTTTCCTACTAATGAGTATGAACTGCTTTGAAACTAAGGGTGCAGTAATGTAGAACAAATCACCGGATCACAGATCTGAAAGGTTTGTTAGCAATGCAAGCAATAATTCAGAACACTTTCACATATGACTGCTGCTCTTGATCTTTTTTAATTTAACTGCGGAAGTGGATGAAATTAAAAAATGCATTTGTAATGAGCGGTGTTATACAAATGTTACCAGACTAAAAAGGAGGCAACAGTCTTGCATGCTATGGGGCCTAACAACTTTTCATTTATTTTTGTTGTTTAAGTAGTGTTGCACATTTCCTAATCTCCCACACACTTGACAACTATCACACCCGTATACTATCTGCTACTGGAATGGTGGAGATGTTGGAACAGAATGCCAAATACCTCATTAAGGATGGATGTACTGTAGGAACATTTTCACACATGCCAGGGACACAAAGTAGTCTCTTTACAGAAGGGGTGGGAGAGAAAGGAGGCAGTTACACCAGGGCCCAGCTATTCAATGGGGCCCAGGGCTCCTAGCCACCACTGCTGCTACTACGGCAGTGGCCAGAGCCCCAGACGCTTTAAATTGCTGCTGGAGTGCTGCACTGCATGCTGTGTGCAGCTCTGAGGACTGGGGAATGGAGAGGCACACAGGGCAGGCTTTAGGCCGATTCTCCCGATTCCCCCGAATCAGGCCCCGTGCGTAAGAGAGGATCCCCACGCGTAAGAGGGCCACGCTCCCGGGCACGCGGGAGATGCGCGGCCCCTGCCCTGGGCGCGCGGCACATGCGCGGACCCCACCCCCGTGAATTGGGCCCCGCATTTGCTAACGCTGGCCCTGGGGTCACATGCCATGATATGGATGGTGTGGAGAGCGGGATCGCTGGCCCTGGCTGGCTCGCTGGTCCTGCCTCTTCCAGGAGTGCAGAGTTGCCCCCCTACCACCACTTTGTTCAGGGGCCCGTGGAGGCTATAAGCTCTCCTGCCCCTTAGTTAGGAA